GAGTTTAGGTGATACTAGAATCCCATCAAATTATAGAGGTATTACAGTTCTCTGTGTGCCTACAATGCATATGCCAAAATTTAAAATACAAGGATAAGTACCAGGCTGTGACTATATACTGAACCAAATTAAAAACGTCACAATCCTTATAACATTTTGACCAGTTATCATTGGGCCCTTATTGTGTATTTAAACAGTAATGGCCACGTATTGTCTTGAGATAACACCCGTTTTTGTGCAGGTGAATCGATCAAAATCATTTTCACAGCACTATAGTGGCAAAAGTGTTTTTTCATGTAAAAGAGGCCTGTTATGGTATAACTTGCAACACTATTAGGATTACATGGAAATAGCTTGACAGCGATACAGTCTTTATATCAGTATGTAGATGCTGCGTTGTATTCTGTGAATACAGAGAAAACAGAATGCTATGATGTTACAGAAGGCGTCAAGCAAGGATGTTATTTTCGCCAACTTTGTTTTCCATGTACATAAATGACTTGGCTGATAACTTAAGTGATCTTCAATGTGGCATTGATCATGATATTGATTCAACAAATATCTCAGTCCTTCTTTACGCCGATGACATCGTTCTCAATTAAACCGAGTGAAGAGAATCTTAAAAACTACTTGACAGTCCCCATGAATGGTCCGATAAGTGGAAGTTAACAGTGAACACAGATAAAACCAAAGTAATGCATTGTAGTATCTATTCCTAGAAGAAATATCCAGTTTCAATGTGGCAAAATCGGTATTTATTACTGCATAGAATATAACTATATTGGTATGTGGTTGAATGAACACTGTCACTATAAAAAACAGTTAGAGAAATACCTGAAGCAGCTAGGACAGTGTTTCTAGTCATTATGAGCAAAGTTCAACAACCTCGGTGACTTAAGTCATGCAGTTTTACACGAAACTGTTTGGTAACTATGTACAACCTGTTCTCAATTACAGTGTTTGTGTATGGGCATCAATATGTACAAAGAAATAAGTTATATCCAGAACAAAGTATCAAGATTATGTTTTTTGGCGTACGCAGGAATACGTCTAACATCGCTGTGAGAAGCGAGATGTGCGGGAGATAAAGATAAAGTGTGAAGTTTTGAGAAGTTTTCTTTTCCCTACGTGCTATAGTCCATAAATGGTCATATAAAAGAAAATCTTCATCGGATTGCAGAGTGCATGAATTTGTGAAAAAGCCTAATATTCAAGGTAAATGGAATCTTTTAGAGTATTGTGTAAGCATGAACCGTGTCACGTTCCTTAATAAATGTCTCGAAGTATTGGATACTAAGGCCAAGGAACAGGGGTACTCTGAACTCTTCAACGACAAAGGCAGCCTGAACTGAAATATACTGAACCGCAAAAGAAACGTCACCATGGATAGATATATGAGAAACCTGATTTTTCCAAACACTGTAAACATACTTTGAGACATATTAAAAAGATGTAACTTGGCAAAACTGATCCTGCAACGTCGATACATGAAATGGATGAGGCGGTTGATGAAGGCCAAAGGCACTTGAGCCGACACTCTGAGGAACGCCTGACGCAGTTCAGCTGCAGTTGTCGGCCTTGGTCGGACGTCATTCAGCCGTCTTTGAATCTCGTCCCAAAGGTGCTCAATGGGATTTAAATCGGGACTGAGGGCAGGCCACTGCATGGTTTATGATGCCATTTTGCTGGAGGAAGTCTCAGAAGCTCTTGTTGCTCTTGCAGTGTGGGCACGGTCGTTATCATGCTGAAACTCGTGGTTTCGGCAACGTGTCAAATAAGGTATGGCGTGTGGTCTCAAGACTTGATCAATGTACCGAGCTGCTGTGACAACATTGCCTCTCCCTGGACCGATGGTCTGGAAGACCACAGGGCCAACCCTCTGTGCAAGACAATTCCGCCCCACACCATGATGCTCGGACCACCCCACAAGTCTCTCTCAACAACACAAGCATCCGAATAACGTTCCCCACGGGACGCCAGACTCTCTCTCTCTCTCTCTCTCTCTCTCTCTCTCTCTCTCTCTCTCTCTCTCTCTCTCTCTCTCTCTCTCTCTCTCTCTCTCTCTCTCTCTCTCTCTCTCTCTCTCTCTCTCTCTCTCTCTCTCTCTCTGCTGGTGCTGTTTTGCCCACTGAAGACGGACCCGGCGATGACGTGGTGTCAGAATGGGTCCTCGATGTGGCTTATGACAGTGGAGGTGTCTGCTCGTCAATCGTCTACGCACTGTGTCCGCACTAATGTGTCGCTGGTATGTCCCCATGGTCTGTCGAGCAGTTTCCGCAGCAGTAACAAAGCGATCTTGAAGATGCTGTCGGGTGGTAACCCTTGGTCTTCCACTCCGTGGTCGGTCATCTGTAGTGTTGGTGGTCTGGTACTGTTGTTGGAGACAGTATATGGTCCTTACGTGGATTTGAAATGCATTGGCTACTTGCCGGGCGGTTTGTCCAAGTTGCAACCATCCAAGGGCTTGGTGATTTCTTGTCAATCTTGGCATGTGGTAGCAATTCAATAACGAATGAATGTTATCCGACCCGGGTGGATTTTTATAGGGCAAGAAATGGGGGAACGCATGTGCATTTCAATTTGCACGGAACTCACGTGCATCGGATTACCAAGGCCGTTGCCGTGATGCGTTTGGGCGATCGGTTTTATTGTCATCTGCTTTGGGGTTTTTATCATCAAATTTCATTTTTCCGGACAAGGTAATGTTAAATTTTAGAAATTTTGACAAAAAATTGGCTAGATATTTAAATGACAACTTTTCATGCAATGTTACTTGGGGTGACGTCAGTACACATTCAGATGTTATGGGACTTATAAACAGGATATTCAAACGTCTCAATATGTAAAAATATCTCTCCCCAGATTCATATATTTTATATCGTGATTATATTGATGACAGATTGCATTATATTGATTTTACAACTATTTTATAATAGTCCTGATTATATTTCATGCCATAGCAATATGTGGCTTTGTCCCATTTGAAATATCCGGAAATACGTTCTGCCTTCTGGCAATGTAACCATACTACGTGATACGAAAGCGTTATGCCGGCAATGAACATGGATTTTTTAAACTTGAATAGTTTAGATAAACTGATTTTTATTATGAATGATGATTCATTGCAATATTTATACTATTTTGAGAAGACAAACCTTCCTTTATATAGTTGAAATTATATACTGATTTAACTGTAGAAGCGAGAACATGTGACACATACTAATAGATAAGAAAGATTTTGCGTAAACGTTTAAAGAATGTTTTGAGACTCTTTTACATACAAAAATATTTATTCGCAGAAACAGAAAATTAACACTTTGATATAAAGTGCAAGTATCTTGAAATATAGTAATAGACTTTTCTTACACCATTTTTTAGCCGGTATGATGTACAATGCGATGGCCGAGACAAACAGTGTGAAAATGTAATCTTTGCGCCGTTGCGACCCGTGAAGATCCGGGGTAGAATAAGTCTTCAGCAACCCATGCAGCGACTTACGGGATCGGGTGGTCAGGCTCGCTGACTTGGTTGATGCATGTCATCGTATCGATCCAAGTTGCGTGGATCGATGCTCATGATGTCAATCACTGTATTGTCTGGTCCAGACTCAATTATTTACAGACCGTGGTCATATAGCTGGAATATTGCTGAGTGCGGCGTTAAACAACAAATAAACAAATAAACAATTATTAAAACTACGTACGTCTGTGTTTGTAAGAAAGAATCTTAATCGCGCTTAATTGGCGTGGCCGGCTAAGCCTGCAAAAATAATTCAATTTTAGGGGCGCGGATGCGAACGGAGGGGTGGGCATGTGCGATGAAAGAGTGTAATTTTGGAGGAAATTAACTCCAACATGACCATTTATGGAGCCTTTATATCCGCCACCACTGTATTTTTTGTTGCGGCCTTTGAAATTGATAGACAGGACTAAAAGTGCAAATAAACCTCATTTACGCGCCGCTTTCGATGTTTTGAATACAATATTTGAATTAACGATGTTACGATCAAATTCTGCGAAGTTAAATATACCCATGAGGTGCACACATTAACATGTATAGCTTAATCTTAAAGTGCATTGTTTAAAGATATCTTTTTATTACAACTATGAACCTGAATATTTATAACAATATATAATCTTTCTTTTGTTTGTGGCTGACAATTTCGTTTTTAATCAACGGAAGTATTATTATGTTGTTCAAGTATTAATTTTTTACTGGTACAATTTCCTCTTTTTCTCGATATTTTTCATGGTAAACATGTGGATGACATTTCCAAATTTGACACATCAGTGATCAAAATAATGTCCGGAGTAATTCCCTATTTGTACCATATTCCCCATGTTTGTTTAGGTGTACAATTGACTTGCATTTGCATGTGTCTGTGACGGGTGCCATCGGTGGAGCAGGATACGGTCTCCTTTTCGCAAACACCTGGTATCACCACTCATTAACAGTGATTCATAAACGCATGCTTATGATATAGTCGGAATCTTACAAAGGACAGACGTAGAGATTTCTTTTATTTTATTGACACCTGTATATTGTATTTTATCATTGAAGAAAGTCAGTAAACCATGCGCTATTTGCAAAGGACAACTCCTGTAGAAGCTATCTGAATCTTCTATGCATCAATTATAACAAACAGTTAATAATCATATTTATTTTTAATCAATTCATTTTAATTATCGCTGCAATTATATGAAATCAATATGAAATTGTGAATGTCAGAGGGTGTCATTGTGATTTGTCAGGGTAGAATACCCCATTTGTTTTCTCCACAAAATTCACCAAGTATGTCCTATATATGTATAGTTTAGAATTTCACAGCGCATGATCCTTTATATTATTTTTAAGTAAGTCAGTGAGCAATCAATCGGCTTTGTCAATTATGGCAAGGGCGTTTGTCACTCTGATCAAACTATCTGGCCATGGTATAATATTTGTTCAATTTGAATTTCAGTGTCAATACGATAAATATTAAAAGTTTGGTTTGGTTTCAGATTTGGTGCCATGGCTTCAAACAAAAAGATATTCAAGTTGATGTTATTGATAACAACGTTTGTAGTCCTCTTTACGCACATGATCTACTTTCGCGTTAAGCTCAGCGATGTAGCAGACAACATCGTCGACTTTTTTGAAGTGTATCCACCTTCATCAATCAATTTATCTTACTGTCCTTCGTCTGGAAATATCAAAACATTTAATGAACAATCGTACATCCTATCGCATTTACTGATAGGGCACTGGAAAACACGTTCTTTGACAAAAAAGGAAGATGAAGACATATTGAACTTTCTGTCTGACGTAAATGTCCGTTACACCTTATCAAAGAATTATCAAAGGATTGATGGTCTCTGTGGAAATGTTACCCACACAGGATCTAAAACTGCTGAGTGGATAAGAGCCTTGTGTGATCCTAAAGGAACAACCCCGTGCTGCTTCAACAATAAATGTGCTGTGAAGTCTGTGGAGGAATGTGTGTGTCCTGATTGCTATGACATGCGGAACCAGAAACATGCTGAATATTCCACCTGGATCCCTTTAGACCCAAGATATGGCTACAAGGAACACAGCCCCCATGAAGCTTGCAGCATCCTCAGTGGCAGCACCATTTTGTTTGTTGGCGATTCTCTAGTTCGTCATGTATATACAGCTATGGTACTGCTTGTTACAGGGAATATGAAAGATGGTGCTATGAATGATAATGTTCCACAGGGTAAGTGAGAACGTGCCACATGTTTAGCTTTGAAGATTTTATAAATATAGTTTGTTGGGGATGTTTTAGTTAGTCATGTATATACAACTATTGTGTTGCTTCTTAAATGGAATATGAAAGTTTAAGTTCTAAATGAAAATGTACCACATGGTTGAGTAGTGTCATGGTTTGATAATATAAACATGTTTCCTGTATAAAGAGTACTCTTTTTTACTTAAATGCTTGGAAGGAAAACGGCAAATTTAAAATGATACCATAAAACAGGTGGTTTGATTGAGATTTACATCAACCATTTCATAATCGTTTTCATTAAGACAGTAGATAATGATTAGAACATTTCCAATAACAACGTGTGTATCCTGATTTGCATGTATTCAGAAGCGCATATTTGAGTAGAAACATCTCACATAGATGTACAATGCTTTCATTGATTTTTTTTTATAAATGTAAATTTATCTTTACATGTTTAACTATGTTTACAACAAGTTCTATGTTGTCTTTCAGATGTTAGAAACGAGTGTAGTGGAATGTATATGTTCACAGAAAAGGTGTGTCGACTGCATCTGAAGTTCAGACTTGATGCTTGCAATGGAAGAGTCAACCTCGAAATGAAGTATTTATTTTCTGCGAGTTTTGGAAAAAAAATGAAACGAATTATTGCAAAATTAAATAGCAAGTCATTACTTTTCACAGGTATAGGCATTCACAATAATTTTAATCATACTGATGTTCAAAGACTGTTTCTGTTACCAACGCTATACTACAAAGACATCAATAAGAGACCTTGGCCCAAAATGCTGTGGGCAGCGAGTCATGCTCCAGGTATTATGAAGTCCCCGAAAGTGTTGGCCCAGGATTATGACAGTGTCAAACGCTACAATGATAATATGGAACCTTTCCTAAGACGGTGGAAAGTTCCTGTTTTTAATACCTTCAACATGACCGATGGAATGACGAGTTTTGATGGCCAACATTATGGACTTGGGATGAATGTGGCGAAAGCAAATGTAATACTGAGTTACCTAAATGAATTGAAAAATATAGGATTGTGGTGAAACATGTTGTAGGCCCTTATTCATGCTAATTTGATTTGAGTTTATACAGAAAGGAAAAACATACCATTAATACCTGTAATTATTTAACTTTTGCTGTGTTTTGTCTGAAATCATATACATGAACACGAATGTATCATTATTGCTTCTACTCGCTATACATATAGTATTAAATACGGAATGTTTTCCTGTTTGAAATATATGTGGACCTTACATATACATGACAAATTACATTTGCATAATTATGTTAAATTGGCTTATCCCCAAGTGTGAGAAACGTGCATCATGTTGTGATTGACTTGCACAGCATCACTCTGAGTGTGAGTGAGTGAGGTAATGCTTTACGTCACATCGGCAATATTTCAGCCATATCGTGACGAGAAATTAGACATGAAATATACATTTATTTAAACTTTATAAAAATCTGTCATCGAAGGACAGTAGGAGAACTAGAATATCACAGATAGGATTTTAAAACTAGTTGCGGAACATTTAAAAGAATTTAGTATTAAGGAAAAAAACAATATAAAAATGGGCTAGAGATCGTCAGTAACTAAAGGGAGATCACCACACCAGGGACCATGGGGACTTACAGTACCTTTGCTTCCTGCATGGACCCCGGCAGGATTTACACCATCCCTTCAGTCGCTGGCGATTATATGCAAGTTTAGCCATTGAATAAAACTAACAAATATACTACGATTTAAAAGTCTGGTATGCAGAAAAATACTACGAATGGTTTGGGACTTACATACCCTCTTAGGGGGACAATAATGTTACGCTACTTCAACCCCCCTCGAGGGTACAGCCACTCACAATCTAAGTTATTTATTAGCACTACCAATTTATAAAATAATACATTAAGCACATCAAAATTTATGGACAAGTTCTATTTCTTTTAAAAAACTTAATATTAAATGAGAATTAACATCATTAAAAAGGTCCTTAACTGTTTTGACACTGAAATATTTATCCCTTGTGATGGAAAAATCAATACAGTCAAGCAGGACATGCTTGACCGTGATTCTTTCATCACAAGGGATACAAAACGGAGGATCCTCACCTTTTAATAAATATTCATTTGTGTATCTGCTGTGGCCAATACGACATCGTCGCATAATGACCTCTTCAAATCTGGACTGGTAGGTATATCCGATATTTGGTTTAATTTCATGTAATTTATTGATACCTACTTGGGCGTCCCACTTCTGTTGCATAAGATCTCGGATGTAAGATCGAATCATGGGTTTAAAATCAATGTAGGGATCAGAAGTGGTGTCACAGATTTGTTGAGCGCTGCTTTAGCAGCAGCATCGGCCAATGTGTTACCAATGATACCAACATGGCTTGGTAACCAACAAAAGACGATGTCATATTGGCCAGTAGCAAGATCAGTAAATAACTCAAGAATTTGGATTAAAAGTGGATGTTTTGAAGACATATTTTTAATTGCCTGAAGGCATGAAAGAGAATCTGAAAACAGTATGAATTGTTTATGTTTAGATTGATTACTGATATATTTAAGTGCTGTCAAAATGGCGTTTGCTTCTGCAGTGAATATTGAACTGTTATTAGGTAAACGTGAAGAGATTGTTCTGGATCCAATGACAGTGGCACTAGCAACTGCGCCACCATCCTTGGATCCATCTGTAAATATAGATTTATAACTGTCATAATTGTTTCTTAGTTGATGGTATTCTTGTTGGTATATTAATTGGTTAGTATCTGCTTTCTTAAGTTTGGTTAATGTCAGGTCTACCTCTGGCTTTACCATTTGCCAAGGAGGAGATGAGAAAAGTTGAGTAGGAGCTATATCTTGGAGTTTAATATTTTAAGCTGATATTGCAGATTTTATTCTAATTCCGAGTGGTGGATTGAGTGCTGATTTCTTATTGTAAAGATCTTCGTAGAGAGGATGGAATATACATTCAAAAGCTGGATTTGACGGATTAGAATATATTTTAGTGATGTATTGTAGAGATAATTTTAGTCGGCGTTGTTTAAGAGAAGGCTCATCTGCTTCTATGTAGAGACTGTGAATTGGAGACGTTCTGAAGGCTCCAAGGCAAAGCCTCAGACCCTGATGATGTATCGTATCTAGTTTTTTTAAATTACTTTTGCAGGCTCCACCATAGACGATGGAGCCATAATCAAGTTTGATCCCCTCCCCACTTTGAATTAGAAACAACTTTCAAGAGATCGAGTGCCTTCAGGCATTTAGCTTTTAGGTATTTTATATGTGGAAGGAAAGTTAAGTGGTGATCAAAAATAAGTCCCAAGAACTTGGCCTCCTTAACGACTTTGATAGGAGTGCCATTCAGAAATAGTTCAGGGTCCTTATGTGGCTTATATTTTCTGCAGGAATGTATACAATTAGTTTTTGATTTAGAAAATTTAAACCCGTTTTCTAAACACCACTTGTGAATTTTATTAAGACATAATTGTAATTGCCTTTCTATTGTGCGCATATTTTTACCACGACAAGATAGATTAAAATCATCCACAAAAAGTGATCCATCAACTGAATCATTTAAAACTTTGGACAAACTGTTAATTTTTATACTGAATAAAGTGACAGACAAAATACTGCCTTGTGGGACACCCTGATCCTGATTATAATGATCAGACAGGGTTGTACCCACTCGGACTTGAAATTGCCTGTCTGTTAAAAACTGTGATATGAAATGAGGCAAACGGCCTCTTAATCCAAAATCATGAAGATCTTTTAAAATACCATGTTTCCATGTTGTATCGTATGCTTTTTCTAAATCGAAAAAGATCGATACAGCATGTTGTCTATTTACAATGGAATTTTTAATAAACGATTCTAAACGCACTAAATGATCGATAGTACTTCTGTTTTTCCGGAAACCACATTGTATATTGGTAAGAAGATTATTTGTTTCCAAGTACCACACTAATCGATTATTTACCATGCGTTCCATCGTTTTACAAACACAGCTAGTTAGAGAGATAGGTCGGTAATTTGAAGGATCATTATGATCCCGCCCAGGTTTTGGTATTGGTATAACAATGGCATTATGCCATGAAGGTGGAAACGTCCCTGATGTCCAAATGTCATCGAAAATAGTCAACAAAGTTTCAAGGCATGATTCGGGCAAGTGTTTCAGTAGCTGATAATGAATATTATCAGCGCCTGCTGCTGTATCATGAGCTTGCCCTAAGGCAGTATATAGCTCATGTAGTGAAAATACCTCATTGTAATCTTCACCATTATCAGATGTAAAATTTACTTTTTTCTTTTCCTGTTGGAGCTGATATTTTTGAAATTCGGGAACGTAATTAGATGAAGACGAATGTTGAGATAATGTTTTCCCAAGTCTATTGGCAATAGCAGTTTTATCAGTTAGTAAAGTATCGCCATCCTTCAGATGGTTAACTGTAGAATTTGATCCCTTGCCTTTGATCTTTTTAATCATGTTCCATGCATACCTTGGACATAGGGGTACGAGTGTTTATTTTGGAGACATAGTTTCTCCATGATAGATGTTTATTTTGCTTAAATAGACGTCTTGCCTTAGCATTTGAAATTTTGACAGTGTTTAAATTATGGACAGTGGGATGTTTACGGAAGTATTTCTCCGCCTTCTTACGACATTTCCTAGCTTGTTTGCAAGTGTCATCAAACCATGGTTTACGAACACGTGGGTTGACGGAGGACCTAGGAATTGATTCATCAGCAATTTTATTCAGTTGATCTGAGAACAACTGAATCGGGTCAGTAACATTCTGAAAAGACGTAGGTTGTAATTTATCTTTGCATAAAGACTGAAATAAAGGCCAATCAGCCTTCAAAAAATTCCATCGAGGTGAAGGTGGATCATCAGCGGGATTAATGGGTTTAAGTACAGTGGGGAAATGGTCACTTCCACACAGGTCATCGTGGACTGACCAGGAGAATTCGTGTAACAAAACTGAATCTGTCAGAGACAGATCGAGAGATGAATACGTGCCAGTAGCAGGGTGTAAATACGTATCGGAGTCATCATTAAAGATGCAGAGATCATTATCGGAAACAAAACCCTCGATCACTTTTCCCTTTTGATTAATGATTGCACTTCCCCATAAAGGATTATGCCCATTTAGATCACCCATGATAACACAGGGTTTTGGGAGCTGGTCGTATAATTTTTGGAGATCATTACGCTGAAGATTTGAAGAAGGTGGAATGTATAAGGAGCAAAGTGTCAAGGCAATATGCAGTGTAAGTCTAACTGCAACTGCTTGCAGATTTGTGTCAAGCGGAACAGGACTGTGAACAACGCCCCGCCGCACCAAAATAGTAGCTCCTCCAGTAGCTTTATCAGCCGGAGGAGAAAAAGAATGATAGGAACTATACTGCCTTAATTCAAATTTATCTGTATGTTTTAGGTATGTCTCTTGTAAACAAATTGCTGATGGACTTAAATCTGTTGTTAATAATTGCAATTCGTGAAAATTGTGCCTAAGTCCTCTGCAATTCCATTGAAATATATTTGAATGGTTCATGGCGGTTCTATAGGAGATCGCTCACGTGAACGTGAAGAAGAGTCACCACTCATGGAAGATGGAGTAACATCCATCTCGAGAGGATCAAAGTAATTGTGAACATCTACAGATGTTTCAGTGAGAGTAGGGATCTTAGTAGAAATTTTCTTCTTTTGTTTCTTCTTTTGTTTTTTGGGCATTTCAGGCGATAGTTTGTTAGGTGCTGGTAATTCAGAAGTTGGTTTAGGTGGGGCCATAGTCTGAGTCACAACCTGAGATTCTGAAGAGGTGTCACATGATTGACAATCTGAATCATTGGTCTGACTCTCTGATGTTGTAACCATAGGCACAGGGTGGTCAGAGTGTGTCCATGTCAAGTCAGTTTGACATTCTATAGATCTTATGGTAGAAGGTCGAGAAACAGCAGCAGCATAGGTGTGCGCTGATGGAGGTGACTGGCTGGCAACGACCTTTTTGCCTCCTGAAAAGAAATGTTGTTTTTACATTTGACAGTTAAGATTTCCTTTTCATGATTCCAAAGAGGACAGGATTTCGAAGACGCAACATGTTTACCCATACAATTAGCACATTTGGGGTCAGCTGTACAATCTGAGGCGTCATGATTTGCACCACAACGGTGACAAACAATCGGCCGATCGCATGATTTGGAGCCATGCCCAAACTTCTGACACTGGTAACATCGGAGTGGATTGGGGACATACACCTCCACTCCGATGTTAAAATAGCCTGCCTTAATTGATTGTGGTATAGTCGACAGTGCAAATGTGAACAAATAAGTATTTGTTTTGATAATGTTTTCTCCGTCCTTTCTAGTAAACCGTTTCACTGAAGTGACATGTTGATCTTTGAGTTCGTCAAGAATATCATCTTCAT